TCTAACTCCAGCATCAAATAAAGCAGGGAGATGAATTGCTAGTGGTCTGGTTTCAGGTTAAATCAGCTTGAAGAGAAGACTTTATGGATGAATCGGGCTTTGGGGGTTTTCTAGTTTACAGTTTTTTCTTTTATGACGGTCATAAACATTGATTTGTGCCACACTGTTAATGGAGGACTCTCCTGAGAGTTCTGAGCCATAATTACTGTTTGTGAAGGCCTGTGGTTCTCCTTTTTTTAATTCTGTGCTATAGGCTCACTAACAATCAACCAGGTGAATTATGCAGTGAATGCTGCAGCTGAGGTGATTTCATTCTACAGTATTGGATCATAGTTTAATGGACTACTGCCCCACTGTGGTAGTAATATTGTTCTGCCGAGAGCAAATTGTGCCTTTCTTTTCTTTTACTGTACCACTCTGTTCCAGCCAAGGTCTGTTGAGATCTGGTTATGAGGTGAGCACGCTTTCTTCCGTTCAACATAACTTCATTTATTATTATTTCCACATTTCCCATTATTTGGTTGACAAATTGATTAATTTTTCTGGTTTACAGGGTGTGGATTCAAGCAATTATGCCAACAAATCATTTTGCTATAATTAGGTTTTGGAATATCTGATAAGACACCCAGTCTCAGTTTTTTGTTTCCTCTGTGCCTGCGAGAAAAAAATGATGCTAACTCAATGAAGCAAAGTCAGAATTTAATATTAACTGAATCTTTCCACTGATCATCTGCCCACCCGGTGGTACAGTATTGCATAGTGTAGGTTTAAATGTCTGTATAATATGATATTGCATAATTTAAAATGACCAGCAGAGATGTGTTGTGCTTGCAGATTAGTGTGAGAGATTTGTGATGTGAATGCTCTCTGTCTCCCTCCCAATTTTTTCTGGTGCTGAATAAATCAGTCTTGCTTTCAGGCAGTCGTGCAGGCTATGGAAGAGCCCTCAGCAGCCTACCATGGCCCATATTGCCCCTACTGTAACTAGCATTCAAACAGGTCAGTCAGAAAAAACACCCCTCTCCTTTTATTCTGCCTCCATGAACAGTAAAATCAATATGTTCTGGTTGTATTGTGCAGCTGGTGGGCGAGGCTGGGTGCTTCTTAGAGGAAGGGCAAATGCACATCAGCATGGGCACATCCTGCAACACACTAATGCACCTCAGGTTCCTGACAGCAATTAAGAGAGACAATGGACAACTGTCCTGTGCATTACAGGCTAAAGACACTGCTTACAGCTGAAATGTGGGAAGCAAAAGTGGGCATGTTTATGATGAGAGGAGCTGCCATTGAGGATTTGACCTTTGTTAGAATAACATTTTGTCACAAAAGTCCAACTTTAATTTTGGGTAATTTTTTATAATCAACTTTTTAAAGATACAATTTGAGATTTGGGGGAAATATGCTGATCTGTTTTCTTGCTGCTGGTTAGTTGAGAAGGTTGATACCACTGTCAATGTTTAGCTTAGCATAAAGACATGAAATGTGGATAAACAGGCTGGATTTTTGTTGGTCGGGAGCAGTGATTTACAAAAATCTCTGCTGGTTTCCTCCAGAAAGTTTGGAGCCAATAAAAGTCTGAAATGTTCCACCTTGTAAAATCACAACTTGCCATTTTTACACTATACAGATGAAAGAAACTGAAACTGACATTTACTTAGTGAGCTCTAAAGGTGCTGATAGGAAGATTTTGTTGCCATCAGACAGAGCCAAACTAGCTGTTTCCATTTCTTTTTCATACTGAGCTAGCTTTAGCTAACTGTAGCTTCCTATTAGGTGTATAGATACTTGTATGAGCGTGGTATTGACCTTCCAGTATAACTCTCAGCAAGAAAGCAATATTTCTTTAATTGTTTATTTTATTGGTCATATTCAAAGGAAAAGGAAATTTATTTTGATTTCCTTTACTACATCCTATACTAATAAAACTGTTTTCACTTTTAATGTCTGATAATGTTCAGATGATAATAATAAAACATGATGGCCTGTCTGGACACCGTTTTTTCCATCTCCGTCTCTGTATCTGCATCTATCAGTGTTCTAATAATAGTAAAGCTGTTGCCAAGGTGCAAATGGTGCAACTCAATGTTTCATTTATTTTGTTCACACAAATGGATTCCCTTCCTGAGTGTCAGAACCTTAATCTGTAGCGAGGACGGCAGTTGACACCCACATCATGTTTTTATTTATGCCTTTTGTGAGCGGGGGGTAGCCATTACAAATTCTTATTCTCAAAGTCTGGGAGCAGTTCTCTCTTTCCACGGGGGGCCATGTTTCCATCAACCAAACATCATATTCAGGATAGTGACAACTGAACATTTCCTGTTATATTTTAGTTGTATTAAATATTTTTGAATAGTAAAACTTTTATTATTAGTAATAATGTGACCACAATATATTCCAGGTATTCTTGTTGTGTTCTTTTTGGCCCATTTGAATTGGGTTTCCTCTTGAAATACCTCCAGAAAGAGGGAGGGATGATGTATCCAAAAGTCTCCAGGTCAAATCAAAAGCTCTGTATTTCTCTAGATGGCTGTAATTAAGGGAGGATGGGCAGGGGATGGCTGACATCCCAGAGTCATGGTGGGGAACTGGAATATGAAGAACTGGCATGTCTTCCTCTCCTCTCTCAGAGTGCTCTGTTTGTCACACGCCATTGCCATCTGTCATGCCACAGAGCTCTGCGGCCACATGCTCTCCTCTCATGCATCTTTCCATTGTGGCCATCATGGCACAAATCTCCCTGCATTACTCAACACCTCAAAAGGGAAACATGTCATCCTTCTCTCCTCACATAGTGCTAAAAGGGCCCACTTCCCCCTGTGGGAGCTCAACTCTTCCTCTGCCGATTGATCGGCTGAACCCTCAGCTTCATTCATCTTCCTCTCTATCTGTCTTCCTGTCTTTATGCCTTCCCATTTGTCTCGGGTCTTTACCACTTGTCAGTATGCTGGCTGAGGATATCTCTATAGCTTTTGTTAGTAATCAATATGTTGTGTACCTCCCTGTGTGTTCACAATATAAATAATGAATTTTAGTGGTTATAATATGGATCCAAAAAGCTGGACAGTCCTGCACCTGGCATTTATTCATTACAGTGCACACAGTGAGAGGAGTCCCTCCTATTGATGTAAGTCTCTCACTTTGTAATGTCTGCTGCTGATTTGGGTGTTGCATTCCCTTGCAGTTCTTCCACCTATTGCTTACATTGCTTTCTCCACTGCGTTCTACCCCCACATGAGGCATATTGATCGTTCCAGTGCACTAATTATTCTGCTTGGCCTTAGATGTCTCTGAACCGCAGTCAGCCTTTGACTGACATGTCTGGATGCCTTTTTATTACCATTATAAAAGAAAAGAAACTGTTTTGATTAAGAACTAAGCGTATGTTGGGTTCTGGCCCTGATCTTTGTAAAATAGGACTGTCACTTTCTCTATTGATCAGTCTGTCTATCTGCAGTCACTGCTTGTGCCATAGTGTAAGCTCTTTGCTTGGCTAATCAACACATATGTGTGGGTGTATACGAGCGCAGTATGTACATATGCATCCATGGGTTTTTTGTATCTATGTGTGTTTGTGTTTCTGCATGCATGTGTGTTTGTGTGTTGGTGGGTATGCGTGCATTTGTATGTGCATGTGGGCAAAATTACAAGTTGGTACATCCTCTCTGCTCAGCACCATCTGTGCTCAGGCAGGCAACAGGCCACTTCACACACACTCATCCTCGCCATACAGCCACATACCTCTGTTTGTGTTTGTTTGTTTGGTTTTGGCTCTTTTAAAATATGAAAATGTCATTACTTCTAAAAAAAAAAAATTCTAAAAGTCATTGGGAAAAAACAGTCTCTAGCATTAATTATGGCGGTTGATGTGAATTCAATTATTTTGAGCATTTTAATGTTTTTTCTCTGCTTTCATCAAAGGTTGTGTTTAGAGCTGCTGTGTGATCAACCTTTTTTCATCAAGTAGATGCGGAAACAAAAATATATATTAAAAAATATGGTGTGCAACACTATAGGCTGTTTAAATCCTTTAAATTTTAACCTCATGCTGCTGGCTTACATTTCTTGCCTTTAATAGTACATTCATGCACTTTGTCAGTAGTTCAGCAATCAGCGTATCATTTCTCTTTTTGAGGTGTTTTTGTGTATCGCCATATTTTATATTTAAAATTTGTCATGAATTGAATTTAATATTATCATTTAGTCAGAGCACGTGATGGACCAGTGGGAAAATGTGTTCACCAACAGCTAACATACAGAGGAATCTTGGACCTTAGAGTGAATTATACATGTACTGGTACTACACTACAGTTCCACATACATTCTCACACTGAATATATTTACATGATTAGAATTTCAGTTCCATCTGCAAATGCTTGGCACAATGGTAATAGATGGAGAATCAATAAGGAGCCCTGGAGCAAGTGTCACTGATGACCTTTGTGTGTGCTCAGAGGATCCTCGGCCGATGACATTTTAAGCTCAAAGGTCCCCGTGGATCAGCACTCATCGGGCTGGGTGTAAATGACACTCTTAGCAATCTCTGTGCGTTTCTAAATGGTGCTCAACCTGGCAGAACATACAAACACGCTGAAGCGGTCTGCAGTGTATGTTCAGCGTGAGCTGCATTTATGCTTAGAGCCAGTTACAGAAAGATATAGGCATAACGTTTGTTTGGTAAGGTATGGGGCGCAGCCTTATGAACCCTAATGAGCTGAAACATCCGTCTGCCTGGGGCATACTACGACCCTCTCTGGTTCAGTCTGTTGGAGTCCCTTTGCCCTGCTTTTTTGCATTTTCTTTAGCTCAATCGTGTTCAGTATATGAGGATGTACACCCCAGCGTCAGTACCATCTGCCAGCTCCCCTCAGGGCGCCAGGCAGGTGCTGGGCATGCTCTCACCCTAGCTATGCCACAACAGCACTGCCTGCTGGGATCAGC